AGATGTTATCATTACTAGAGGATTCTAAATTAACCCTTTTTTGTCCGATATCATATCCGATCGTATCTTAAATTTTTTATTTTTGTGTTCTTTTTTATTTACATTTTTCCAAAAGTAGGAAGTTGATTAATTAGATGAATTATCGTTGGTTAAATCCCTCATTTTGTGAGCTTCAATTCCTCAAAGACATCAAAATGTGATCATGTTGTAGGGGGTTCAAGTCTAATATTTTGTGATACTTTTCTAGAGGGGTCTTTAAGGATAAAATATCTATATATATCAAACCAAATTAAACCAATTAACTCATTAAGTGTTTGAGATTGCTTATTAAACAGCTTATATTTTTTTACAAAAGCACTTATCAACTTATTATAAGTCATAAGGGTTTAACTTCTTTAAAAAACTCTTTATTACTGGTTTGGCACCGGTATAAGTTGTTTATACTCAAAAGTGCTTATTACCGGTGGCACACCGGAATAAGTCAATAAGTTGTTTTTATAAGCAATCCCAAACACCAATCCAGATAAAGTAGGGTTAAAAGAAGATAAAATGTATAGAGATCATTCTTATCTCAATGGATAAGAAAGATTGGCTTAATGAAGATGTATGGCATGCCCCAAAAAAAAATATCTTTTGCATTTCAAAAGACAAGAAATGATGTTTAGAGAAGTCAATAAAGAGAACTAGAACAAGTAGGTAATTAGAGCAAGTACTCACAATGACCGAAATAAAACGAGATTAAACATAAGGGTGTTAAAAACACATTGATGATTACATCTCAACCCTCCTCATAGATGTCGAAATCTGCCTCCTATAGACATGCACAAACCACTACAAGTTTAACCTTTCTCAATTTCTTTGTGATAGGTGTTACCATGAACCCTCTGCTCAAAAGAACTTATTCAGCATCATGTCCAACATATATACTTTGGCGCATCCTCAATTCTACAACTTCCAACTTATTTGGGTGCCTTCTGTATTATCCAACACCCGCGACATACAACATTGCGAGTTTGATGGCGACCTTGTTGCTCTTAAATTTAGGACGATATGTGTCTTTATGTCCCACAACACTTCCGTTGTAGCCTCAATTTTAACCACCCTGCCTTTTATGCATTGTGTAATATTATTCTTAACCTTACCTTCCTTCCGGATCATGAAGACCATGCAGGCACCTACAACTATCATTTTTAGGACCCTTTGTCTCATAATGTTGATCGTCAATACGCTCCTACTAAATATAGAGTCTTAAAGTTTTAGCCTTACTTTGAACCAACATCTTTTGGACATGAAATCAGATGGTGATCACTGATCAATTATGATGTTTTATCCATGATTAATAAAAACATAAATGTGGCACCCAAGAATGGGCTGAAAATTTCAAAAGGTGTTAAGAATATGTTCAAATACAAAAAATGAAAAAAATGAGATTTCGAGACATCGGGAGTTTAGGGTTGGCGGCCCGACACTTGGCTTTTGTTTATAATCATGTCTTGATGTTTGCCATAGAAATATTAGCTTCAAGGTTGTTCCATCGTAATAATCTTATCAAACATCAACGAATAATAAAATCATAGATCAAAAATTAAAAACTTATTAACCATCATGCACTTATTTGGTGGTTAAATTGTTCATCTAGTTTGATTGCTAAGGATGGTTTTGGAATTTGCCCATCTTGTGTTGTGAGCAATCTTTATAAAAAGCATGAAAAAGAGAAAACAGACATCAAGAATCAACATAGGATTCCCATCGCTTTTGGTTGCAATACCAATATTTGGTCAAAAAACCACCATCTATTATTTTCATTAATTACTCTTTTAATTGCTTGGCTTTTGGTCATGGTAGCCTACCTTAGTTTTACTAATTATTTTGTATATGGGCCAACTGTATTCCGTACATTTGGTCTTGGATTTTATATAAACGTGTCGATTTATGCGAACAATCGAAGATAGATCACCATCTTGTTATTTTTGACAAGACTGGTTATTATATAAATTGTATGATTATTTTAAAAACCGAAATCCATCAAATACAACAATCATGTTCATATAGGTTGAATTTAAGAATTCAACTTAAAAAAGGATTAAAATTTTGTTGGGTATCGTGCCAACATGTAATGATATGAAATATAAGTAACATCGAGTATATATAGTATAATCTTTCAAACCCAAAAGAGTATACTAACTCAACAGTCTCCAAATTAATTTAAAATGGTATAAATTATTGGTAACCCATAATTGAAAGCTTACAAAAATACTTGCAAAATCTCATTTTCTCTTTTCTGCGCAATTTACATCAAACTGCTCCCTTAAATAAGCTATGAATCGCAATTTAAGAACGAGTTGTCATGTAATTAAAGTTGGTACATTTTATTGGTTTTGGGGGGTAACAATGTAAATGTAATGATATAAGGAATATAGCACATGCTTTTGAGGATACATTGAAAGAAGAGGCACTTTAATCATGAATTGAAATTGGTGATGTATCTCAAAACAAGTAGATGGTCCATTCATTGTCATTAAGTTGCTTTTTTGGAGGTAATAAAGGCCAAAGGGAAGTACTGAACCAACCAAGCATAAAAATGATAACAAAAGTAAAGCTTGGAATCCACATTGCATGAAAGATAAAAGAAAAGACGTCCATTCAAACTCAAATTATAAAGGTCTTTCACATTCCTCGAAACTCTCTTTTATCACATCACAAAATACAAAATACAAAATACAAAATACAAAATACAAAATACCCGGTTAACCCGTATGAGCGCAACTCGCAAAACGAATATTATGAAGACACACTAATTAAGTTTGTCGGGTTCAAAACGAGCTTTTTAAGTGGTTTGAAATCAACTTAACGACAATATTGAGGTTATTTTTTTATATAGATTTGTTCGTTTCTTTGACTTGTAACAAATTTACACGATGTTGGTTTAACTAGTAAATTAGGGATTAAGAGTTGCAAGTATATATTGATAATGGAGGCTGGCTTTAGAGGAATCTAATGTCGCGAACAAATCTTTTGATGTTCATAAGCGCAAGTCTTGGTATTAAATAGGTACTTAACTACAATTTTTACAATCACAAATGGCTTAATGATCGGCTTCAATCCTCCAAAGAAGGTGTCTAAAACATACCACTAATCAGGCCATCCAATTTTCAGATGTAAACCTCGAGAGGATCATGTTGTGAATTGCTCCACCATATTCGTCATCCGCGACAAATAACTAAAACCCCCATTCTCAGCATTGTTAATCATATTCAAGTAGGCTAAATCGACCTTTTGGTCCTCGGGGGAGCAAAGTATTTGCGTATTTCTAATCCAAACTCTAGGATTTGACCTGTCGAATATTGGAATTCAAGTTTAGGTAAGTACCCCAAATCGGCCCGAATTTCTTTCCCCACTGCTGCTACTTCTCGTTCTCGGTGACTCTTTTTAGGTAACGTCCTCATTTCTCGCATCATGTGCATTATCTCCTCAAATATCTTGTTTTGATTTTCAAGTCTCTTTATCATTTTTTTTTCGAGATTTCCTCCATCACTGTATCTTCCTTGTTATTGGGGGAGCCAGAATTGCTATGCCCACTCAAATTGAATGGGTGCCAGGAAATTTCGCTTTCATGCCACTGTTAAGAGAGCTTTCGCTCGCCTCTAATGGCGATGAAATGCCGTAGAACGACAGAATAGAGACGGGAAACGAGAAAACTAGAGGGACTTGACGCCAATGCTATCCGTTTCAACTAATTCTCTTTCCTTACTAACTACTGTAACAGAATGAGACTAAGGCTACCACCACAATTGTTCGCCTTGGAAACAAATCTTAAGCACAAACATGGTAGCATAGCAATGTTGGTGGATTCAGAGTCTAGTTTGGATTCCATTTCGGACTTCAACTTCGAATATACAACTCTTATAACAAAATAATCTCAACAGCTTTCTTCGTGTAATAGAGTTTGTCTTCTTTCTATGCATGTACTACTACTAAGAGGCTTATTGTTTGGTTTTCTATTAAGATCTGTATGAAATAAGATGGCAAATATTTAACGACTTGCCCACTTCAGTCTTTTCCAACCATTGCTTAAACTTAAAAAAAAAACAAATATTGTTTAATGGCCGAGCAAATGAACATCAAGTTCACTACACAAAAAACAAAGTAACAAAAGCCTAGCAAAACTCTCATTTCCACAAATTAGTATATACTGATATCTCTCTGGAAGGACTTGAATTCGCAACTTAAAGACTGTAAATATACATCGATGACTGTCTTGCTATTCTGTGCATATGATCCTTGACTCAACACCASRASAGTAAACTCCTAATCTGCCATGCTTGTAAGGCTAATTAAGAAAGCGACCAGGGAAGGAGTTGCTCCGTTGATTATGAAATGCAACTATAAATCTTAGTTCTATTTGTTTATACCTTTTTATAGTTATTTATTTCATAACTCCTATCCCTATCAAATAGACGAGACCCAAACGCTTTATACTACGGCTTTGTTTGGCAAACTAGCTAATAAGTTCGCTGATAAACTAGGTAAAAGCTAGATGGTAACGTAAAATGACCTAAAAGGACATTGATGAAAAATTAATCAGAACAATATAAGGGTGTAACCATGAGCTGGCAACTCCAAAATGAATTATTCTTCGCCACTAACTTACTTCTTTCACTCAAATGTCACTGCCAGAGGGGTGTATGTTAACTAATATTTTCTTTGGTTAATGGATAACCATTTGCTACCAATGGAGAATTAATTGCTTCTCAACTTGAATTGAGGTGAGTTGAAATAATGGCTCGACTTATTGAAACGCTATTTGAAATAGTTTTTCGACAAGCTAGCTTATGGTTGCTGCCCTACAACTGCATACAAATACCAACAGCAAAAGCAGCAAAGGATGCATAGGAAGGGCAGATAAGAAGTGGATATGCGGAAAAACGAAAATTAAAAACTCAGCTCCGTTGGATGGATTTGAATCTTTAGTTAGACTTATAAATAGAATGAACTCAAACTAACACAGGCAGTAACCATTTTCTTCTGATTTCAACGCCATAAATCCATCCCAAAAATAAAGTTTTACAAAGGGGTTAGGGCACACTGTAGTGGCTAAAATTCGCATTCGTTAGATTTGACGTACCTTGTAACCACCGCATTGTCACTACAGAGTTTCAACTCATCAGCTGGAAGAATAAAGAAAGTGAGGAACAAGCCGTATGTCTGTAATCAGCGTGAAATCATTTCAGCTTAGATTTTTTGGAGCTTTTAAGAGGTTTTGCAATAAGACGGGGAGGAGGTTTTGCAGTGGCTTTCTGGAAATTGAACTTGACGGAAGAGAAGGCACAAAGCACAGCAATCAACATGGTTGGGTACACATAAACTGCTCTTGTGGGGTCGGTGTTTACTGGCTTCCCAAGAAGCCCTTCCTTGACGAGTCCCCATACAATTAGAAGGGTCCCAAACATACTCATTCTTTGAGGCTTTAGTAAACCAATAAATGCTCCTGCTACAGAGAAGTAGCTTCCTGCAAGAACCTGGGAACCAACAAAACAGTTTTATTGCCCATAAATTGAACTAGAAATACAATCAATGTACACCACAACCTTAGTTCGGCCCCTGTACTGTTGAGTAAAATAAACTTTGGTCATTGTACTATAGAAGGTATTGATTTTGCCATTCTACCGTATCTAGGAAGTGGGAGATAGAGTAAGTTAGACTAAAGGGATGATAAAATCAACCCCGATTCTGATCCTGCCATCTACATATGCGCTTGTGGCCACTGAGAGATTTACCTCTGGGTTGTGTTGTGGGTGAAGCCTACAGTCGTGAACTCGCAATTTGCCATCAGATTAGTCTGGGATCCCCGGTTTCCAGAAAATAGAAAGAAAAAAAAATTTATTTCCTTAAATTGGTTAGACTTTTCTTGTACCTGCTTCTATTTGTATGTAATTGCTTTCTCTTAACCTGGTTTTCAAATTTTTATCATTTTTGACTCTCTTTGTCAGACTTTTCATAACCCGAGGATCTTCACAGAATCAGCCGTTCTACTCTTTGGTTTAGAGATCAAGTCTACTTACATGTTACCCTCCCAAGATCCCGCCTCCATGTGGGATAGATATATTGAGCTCGTTTCAGTTTGGTTCTTCTACCTCATTCCCACAGATAACTACCCACCAATCCTACATTAAAAAAAATAACTTGACCAATTTGTCCTTATTAAACTGATGTAATGTTACTGTTTGTTTAGGGATAATATGTCAAGAGATGTTAATTTTTCATCGAGCAAGTGACCGGACCATGAGACAGAGACCCAATAACTAACTTCTATGGTACAGTGGCCAAAAATATTTTACTTGAGGTACAGGGATCAAGCAAATAATTTCCCAAAGAAAAGCTGATCAAGAAACCATAGAGCTTAGTTAACGGGCTGGATGTTTTGGTCCAGGTTTAACCTAATTTTATTCCAGGTCCAACCATAAGTTGGCTCCCTTAACATTAATCCGAAACCTATCAATATAGATTGGTATTTATTATGAGATAGTAACTTAAGAAACTAACCTTGGCTATAAACTTCGATAATACTTATAATCTCAAGGTCTGAAGGATTGCTTTTTACCATAAAAATACTTACGAACGCGTATGAGTATGATGATGAAAGCTAAAGGGCGTCCAAATGTAAATAATGAACCGAATGAAGATCAATAGTCAAACTTGGATATAGAATGTGGAATCAGATGTCATTACAAGATGCTACCAGGTTGAATTTCGATAATAACATTATAATATTGTTTGATAAGCCAAATTTGGAAAGAGAAAAAAACCCAAACTCCATAAGCATCAAAAGGAAAGAAGGTTGTGAAGTAAAAAATACAAACCTCCAGACGTTGTAGATCAGGCATTGCAGAGGCTCCTTTTATATCAGTCAAGTTGTACATGCTTAGTACATTATTCCAACTTGGAACACTCATATTGTAGATTAAATCATTAAAAATGGCCCCTGGGTAAAGGAGAGCCTTAACTGCAGCTAGCGGAAAGATCTCACTTGCAACCAATTGGCTAGATGTAACTTGGATAGGCGACGTACACATACCTGATCTACATGGTATCCTGAATTAAATGAACAAAGAGAAATAACAAAGAAAGATCAATATTTTGAGCATAAAAATATACAGGGTATCCTGAATTAACTGAAAAAAGAAGCAATTACCATATCAAAATCAATATTTTTGCACACAATTGTCACAAAACTAAATGCAAACGTTTGGCAGCGTGAACACTTCAATGAAACTGCTCGACTATTAGTCAAATATCTAGAACACCTCACAGTAATGACAATAGATGAACCTTATGCACCAAAATCAACAATGAACAAAGAGGTAATTCAGGATAGAAACTTCAGTAAAATGAGAAATATTTGCTTTTTTAGGACATCCCGAAAAAAAAAATTGTTGCACTTTTTGGGGATAGAGGGAGAATAAATTTGATCATTTGCTTCTTCAACAAGGATAGAGGGAGAATAAATCTAGTGAGCATGCCATTTCTTCCTACCATCCATGCATGATCCTTCCCCATTGAATGCTTCTCTTTTGGCCGACCAATCCCCCCCTCCTTATCTCCCCCCATTACCCAATTGCATGTTAATTATTTGGTTAGTAAGTCCTCTAATATTTCTCTTAAAAATAATACTAAAAATCCAATTGATAAGAATTCCAAAAAAGATGTTAATTTTAAAGAAAAATATTCTTCGGTTTGGAACGGTAAAAATTCTAATATTCTTCCTAACTCCTTTGCTAATGTTTTAAGTAGCTCTCAAAAGCACTCTGACGCCAACTTTCATTTTATACCTAACCTTAATGAAGATGTGAATTCCCCTATTGATACCCCTTATCGGTGGTCCAAAAAAGTTGTCACTTATGCTAAAACTTTATGTGGTTATTTTGTGGGCAAAGGTTTCCCCTTTCCGGTTGTTAGATTCTATGCGTCTAAATTATGGTCTCAATATAGAATAGAAGATGTGCTCTTAAATAGACATGGAATTTACTTGTTTAAATTTAATGATGAAAACGGCCTCCAAAAGGTTATTGATAATGGTCCTTGGACCTTTAAAAACATCTCCATCTTTATTCAAAAATGGAGGCCTGGCCTAAACCTTAATTCGGCTAAACATGACAAAATCCCATTATGGGTCAAAATACACGATATCCCTTATGATGCCTAGAATGACGAGGGCCTTAGCCATATTGCTAGCAAGATAGGAAAACCCCTAGCTATGGACGCTTGGACGGCTAACATGTGTACCTATGTTGCGGGTAAATCTGCATTTGCTCGGGTCCTTCTTGAAGTTCCCGTTAGGCAAAATTGGATGGATGAGGTGAAGATTCGTATTCCGGATCCGGATACCCTTTTAATATCCTTACACTCTCTTCATGTGGAATATGACTAGAAACCCCCTATGTGCTCTATTTGTAAAATCTTTGGACACTCTGACTCGTCATGTATGCATGCTTTGGTTAAAAATGATATGAATGTAAATTCTACAAATAAGCAAGTTGTGCTGATAAAGAAGATTGTTGTTGATAGTGAGGGTTTCCAAACCCGTGATCACAAGCAAGGCCAGAAACCCAAGGCCCCGATGACCGAAGTGCGAAAGGAAAATCAAAGGAAGGAGACCCACCCCATTGCAAAGAACGGGAAGCAAGTAGCTGTAAATTTTAAAGGAAAAGGTGAAGGTCCCACCTCGATAAGAGTATCGTCAGAAAAGAAGACCGAACCCATGGGTTTAAACCCTAGCCCCCCTCCCTCTCCTCCTAGGCCCCCCATCCTTAGCCATATCCCCCCTAAACCTTCAAACCTATCTCATCCCACCCGGAAGCATTCCAAGGCGCCCTCTCCTTCCTCCAACCGTTTCTCTGTCCTTGCTAACCTATCTTTTCCTAAAGACACTGGGTCTTCCTCTTCCTCCCTCCCTGTCCCCTCTGCTCCTTCTGAGATCAAGGATAATCCCCTTGATCAGGATGACCTCCTTGATGAGGAAGATATGGTTGAGGTTGAGTCGGATGGAGACACTGCCCGGTTCCTTTCCCGCGATCTCTCCTCTCAGGTTGATCTGAGTAGATGGATTCCACCCCTTCCCCTGTTTCCCAATGACGAGCTTTGCCTCGTGGAATTCCCGTGGTCTTTGTAAGTTGTTCCATCAGAGAGCTATGAGAAACCTCATTCGGGATTCTAATCTTCATGTCTGTGCTGCTCCCGAGTCTCGTGCCCTTCTGTCTAACCTTCGTTCTATATGTGAGAATGTCTTTGGATCCTGGTCCTGGACTTCTAATGGTTCCCTTTGCCCTAGAGGTACCTGTATCATCGTTGCATGGAACCCCGTTCATGTCGACATGATGCTCCTAAATGCCACTGATTAGGTGATGCATTTTCAGGTCAAGATCTGGGATACCTCTAAGAGTCTCTTTCTCTCTGTTGTCTATGCGGATAATTACCATATCACCCCTCGCCAGTTATGTGCTTCGCTTAAAGGTCATAAGCATGTCGTCAAGAACACCCCATGGTTCATCATGGGAGATTTCAATGTAGCCCTTGACCCGAGAGATAGCTCCTCTGGCATGGTGGGCTCCTCTCGTGGTACGGATGATTTCCGTTAGTGTGTCTGCCACCTTGAGGTTGAGGATATCAACTTCAAGGGTCTCTTTTTCACCTGGTCCAAGAACCCTAATGGCACGGGAGGTCTCCTTAAAAAGATTGACCGTGTCTTGGGTAATTCTCATTCCCTTACTCACTTCCCTTCTGCCTCTGTCATCTTTCTCCCCTACCGGTCTTCTGACCATTGCCCTGTGGTCCTTACTCTCCCTTCCCGTTTCTCTCGTAAGCCCAAACCTTTCAAGTTCCCTAACTTCCTTACTCATAAAGAGTCCTTCAAAACTATTGTTGCTTCGAGTTGGAGCCCTGATCTGCCTGGTTATGAGATGTTTAAGATTTCCATAAATCTTAAAAATCTCAAAGACCCTATCCGTAAGCTCCTCCATGAGGGTAACCTGTTCTCTATAGTGTCTAAAATTCGACTTGAGCTCGATAGGGTCCAGATTGCTCTTGATAGGAACCCTGAAATTTTGGCCCTCCAAGAGGAGCACTGTGGGTATTTATCTGCCTATAATGGTGCTTGTCTCGAAGAGGAGAGGTTCCTGAAGCAAAAAGCCAAAATCCACTGGCTCCGTGAGGGAGACAAAAATTCTTCCTTTTTCCATAAATCTGTCAAGAGCCGTATCAGCCGGAATTAAATTGATACCATCCAAAATGCTGATGGTCTCTAGGTTTCTAGTAAGGAGGTTCCTGGTCTCTTCGTCTCTCATTTTCAAAACTTTCTTGGGACCCCTCATCCTTCTCTCCCCATTCGTGATTCGGCTTTTCTTTTCTCGAATAAGCTTAATGCCGATCAAGCTGCCATGATGCTTGCCCCTTTCACCGACTCCGAGATCAAGCAAGCCCTTTTCAAGATGGGAGACGACAAGGCTCCTGGGCCTTGATGGATTCATCGCTAAATTTTTCAAGGCCGCTTGGAGTATTGTTGGAGGGACCTATGCTCTGCCGTTCATGAGTTCTTCACGTCCAGTTGGCTCTTAAAGTCCATAAACAGCACTATTCTTGTTTTCATACCTAAGTCGGGCGCCCCTTCTCGAGTCACCGATTTCCGCCCCATTGCTTGTTGCAATGTCTTGTATAAAATCATTAGCAAGATTATCTCGGATCGGATCAAATATCTTCCCTCTCTGGTTGATGTTAACCAGTCTGCTTTTATCCCGGATCGGCTCATTACGGACAATGTCCTTCTTGTCCAGGAGCTTATGCGCAGCTATCATAAGCATCGAGGCCCTCCCCGCTGTGCCTTCAAAGTTGACATTCAAAAGCCTTATGATATTGTCGATTGGCATTTCCTTCTTACCGCCCTTCTCGGTTACGGCTTCCCCCTTACCATTATAAATTGGATTATGGCATGTGTTTTCACTGCCTCCTATTCAGTCAATATTAATGGAACCTCCATGACTATTTCAAGGGAGGTCGTGGCCTGAGGCAGGGTGACCCCCTTCCCCCTATCTCTTCACTCTGGTTATGGAGGTTCTCAACCTCCTGAACAAAAGAAAAATTTGTGAGATGGGCACTTTTTCCTATCACTGGAATAGTGAGGAGTTGAAGATCACCCACCTTTGCTTTGTTGATGATCTCCCCATATTCTGCCATGGTGATAGTGATTTTGTCTGTATCATAAAGGATTCTCTTGATGAGTTCTCTGGAGTGTCCAGCCTCTAACTCAGTCCGGCCAAAAGCAAGGCCTTCTATTGTAATGTCGGCCAACACACTAAGAGTACTCATTCTATCATTCAGTTCCCGGAGGGTTCCCTTCCGGTCTGTTATCTCAGTGTCCCCCTTGTCACGACTCGCCTTTATCACAATGACTGTAAGGGTCTCGTCGATAAAGTTAAATCCAGACTGAATGACTGGAAAAACAAGTTTCTCTCCTTTGTCGGTAGGCTGCAGCTCATTCTCTCAGTCCTATCTTCCATGCAAATCTATTGGGCCTTGATCTTCGTTCTCCCTGTTTCCATTTCTAAGGAGATTGAGCAGCTCATGCAGGTTTCTGTGGTGCCATGGTGAGCTTAAAAGAGGAAAAGCAAAGGTCTCCTGGAAGACCGTCTGCCTTGCTAAATCTCAAAACGGGCTTGGTATTAAGAGCCTTACTAACTGGAATCTTGCCCTTATGGCCTCCTTACTTGGAGAATCCTTACCAATAAGAACTCTCTATGGGTTAAATGGATCCACTCCTATAGGCTTAAAGATCGAAATTTCTAGGATGCCCCGATCCGAAGCGATGTTGGTTGGGGTTGGAGGAAGATCCTGGGCATGCGGGATAAGATACGATACTTTATTGTCTCCCAAATTGGCGATGGCGCTTCCACGTCTGTCTGGTATGATAACTGGCACCCTGTTGCCCCCTATGCCGTCTCTCCCCGTAATATCCTCAGCGCTAACCTCTCCCTCAATGTCTGCGTTAAGGACATTATCTGTCAGGGAAACTCGACTTGCCCACACCTGCAGGACAGTCCCAA